CCGTTTCCCCCCCCCCCCCCGGTGAGCTGAGTACTCATTTTACCTACCTCAGAAGTCAACCTTGAGCCGACTACCTGGGATAGAACCCCTGGTTGTGAACAGTTATGGCTACAGTACAGCAGTGTAACCATTGTGCCACGGGGCTCTTTACATGTACATATACATATACATACACACACACACACACACACACACACACACTGTATAAAGAGCCTCGTGGCACAATGGTTAAACTGCTTATATATAAAAGGACACTCCCAGGTAGAGTTGGGCACAAACTGCCAGTTCATTTCTCTGCTGAACAAGTGCATGTCTCTTCAAAGCCCTGCTTCTTCTGGTGGGCATCCCCTCAGAAGCAGCACCTGGAGGAGCTTTTAAGGGGGTGCCAGCCAGAGGAGGCGGGGCTTTGAGGTGCCAAACACTTGTTCAGCCTAGAAATCAACCAGCACAAACCGCTGAACCAGTGGTTTGTGCCCATCTGTACTTGCAAATCCTGCAACATGCAACAAATATATTGCAAATTAAACAGCATACTTTTGATTTGCAGGTTGGAAAGTTACCTGTCATGGAAAACAATAAAATGTTTTATGACTCAAAACAGTAAACAGGCATTATACACCTAAAATTTATATGGTTAAATTTTACTGTCATCTAACATAGATGCACTAACAGGGCTTGCCTGTTTAGAGCAAAGTTCATGAAAAAGAATATTTCGTGAAAGAATCACATTTCTGGCAAAATGTTTCAATAGCATTCTAAACTTAAACAAAAAAAAGTTGCCTTTCACCTGCTTAGAACTGTTCTAGCAACAATCCTGGGCAGCAAGAACAAGGGGAAAGTGTAGCTACATGAATTTAACTATAGATGTAAGCTATCTAACAACATACAGATCTTGCCACTTCTTTATATTTCAGGTTACCTATAGCAGATTCCTGTGTACAGTACAGTATAAGGAAAATCCTCCTATGTTCAGTTAGATCTTTGCCCTCATAAATGTGTTTAGGAATGAAACCTTAATTCTATCATACCCCAGTTCCATCCTTACAATCTTTAATGCAGAGTAATGCATACTCCGAAGGCTGGAAATGATCTTCTACCTACAGTATTACTTTACTCTTCCACCTATCCTGACAGAGTATGGCAAAAAAAATTTACACCCTACGGGAATTAATATTACAATCCTATGCATCATTTCGTTGGAACCTGCATTCAAGCATAAATAGCAAAAGGCTGGAAGCACTAAGTGATCCATGTTAAGGGGTCTTATAAAAGGTGCTGTCCCGCAATGAATGAATGATGAGCTATGCGACACCCTCTCTCGCCACCCCAAACTAAGTTCAAAACAAATACTGTATACTGACAATTAAGTATCTTAGCAAACGGCGCCTGCTTGAACCTGAGAGGTTAAGAGCAAAAGAGGCAAGAGGAACCCCATAGCAAAGTGTTGCCGTTAGGAGAGGAATGGTGGGCAGAGGAAGGCGTCGGGGGGTGGAAACAGGTCAGGAGGTCGAAGGAAAAGAAGTAAATGCTAGAAAAGAAACAGGACTGAAAGACAGAAAGGCAAGCCACGCGCGGGGCGGAGGTGAGGTAAACAGTGAGACAGCCTCCCTCCTCTTACCTGGCAGCCCTTCTTGTGGTGGAAGCCCACCACCACAATATGCAGCACCGGCCCCCTGAGACCGCCCCCGCCTCGGGACTGGAGGTCGCCTTGCGCTCTGCCCCTTCGCTCCATGAAGGAGCTCGCAGCCAGCCAGCCACCCCTTAGAGCAGGAGGCTCTCGCGTTCAGAGCCCGGCCACAGGCTCTGCCTTCCGCACTCCGTCCGAAAGCCTGCCGCCCGTCAAATCGGAGGCTCGGTCACCAGTGAGCATGCTCCCAAAGGCCGAGCACGCTCAGTAGCGTCTGCTGAAGCCGCCCCGGCCCTCGCGTGGAAAGCGGCAACAGCAGCCACTTCTGGGAAGAGTGGTCGGACCTTGAATGGCGGGAAAATAACAACGAGGCGCTCGCGCGGGGGAGGGGGAAATGACATAAAAGTCTCTGCACAGGGACTACTAAAGTGTGGGGGGGGAAGGGGGGGGACAAGGCTACGCAGGGGAGAGAGAAACTCCAAAGCGCCCCCGTAATGTTTGCAAAAACACGGTGTTGCAGGAAGAAGGAGCTTCCTTACCCTATTACCTCAGGTTGGTTTCTCCTGGCAACGAACTGCCAGTGCTATGTTCTTAAAGGTGTAGTACTCCGAACTGCTAAACCAAAGGTTGTATGCCGTGCCGCCTTTCTCCCTACAGGGGACCCATAGTGGCTTACAACAATTAAAACTATACAATAATCACATTTAGAGATAGTGTAAAGAACTCTATTTAAAACAATTAAACAATTAAAACCAAACATACTCTTTGGCAGTCCTGTTCTGCTTGAATTCCTGTGGAATTCAAAGATTTGCATATGAACCACAGTAGGTGTTTAAAATAAACCTTTCATCTTGCTAAACTGCAGTACAACTGTTTATTAAGGATTTCCGCGCCACATTTCAGAACTAAAATATAACTAATATGATTGCATTAAATCCCACATTACAACCACAATGCAAAAAATAATACTGCAAAAGGAGGACCAGCTTAAATCAATCACAAATTATAGTAAAGTAAAACCAAGAGCAATAATTAACTCTTATCAAAATAAAAGACAAAAATAAGCAAAAAAAATTTTAAACACCACCCTAGCAGATACCAGACATATATTTCAGGTCCTAGAGATGGGGTGCCACTACTGCAAAAGTGTGTCTCATGACTTCACTCAAGTCAACTACAATACTACATATTCTTGTAGGTAGACAGAACCTCTGTTGATCTTATAGCATGAGCTGGCCCATAAATTCACACTTTTTATTCATCAGAATGAGATTTGCCATTGACTTCCATGAAATGTTTGTTGGATCTCTGGTTTTTAAAGGTTTAAATGTGTGCAAATGAACAGAAAGAAATTATGTCAGTTATTCAGAAAGGAACTATTACACTGGAACAGGAGTAGCTGATGAAACTTTGCTTAAGACAACAGAATACTAGTTGAGAAAGAGCAGGATATAGATGATGATGATGATGATGATGATGATGATGATGATGATGATGATGATGATTATGCATTTATCCCAACAAGGGACCCAAAGCTATTATGATAGTTACTGCCACATGTCAGGGCAATGTTCAGACATCCATGTCTTCCTGGTGGCTGTAATGCTACAGGAAGATAATGTAAGTTTGTTTCTAGTCCTCTTATGGAATTGTCCTGGTTCTGTTCTTTCACATCACAGCTGTGCTGAGGGTGGCTTTGGCTATTAGCACTGTAGGATGAATTTAGCCTGTTGCACTGGCATGATAACTCATGTTTGCAAAGTAATGCTTGTGAAAACACAGTGTGCAAAACAGTGGTGCAGGAAAATCACTAGTAACACAAGAGTTTCAAATAGTTATTTGTCAATACAGTGGTATGAAATTAACAGCTGAGGCTTCAGCCTCAATATGTGTTTGATGCAAAATCTATGAGAGGTCTGGAAGATGTAGCTGTCCAGATGCTATTGAACTGGAACCCTATCAGTCTTAGCCAGGCTAACTAGTGGTAAAGAAAGATGGAGCTACCATTTGACAACATCTGGAGATCCAGTTATTCCCTAACCCTGTTTTTTGCAATAGTTTCCAGTCAGAAACCTTTTTGTAGATCCTGCCTTACTTTATGTGCAAGTGTCAGGGGAAAGAAGCTGCTGTGATTACTACAGGGGAGCGGGCTCATGATTGTGATCAGTTACCTGCTTTTCATCCAGACATTAATCCTGTCCATCCTTCTCTCAAGAGATAAATAGAGAGTATTACATTTGTATTTCTGTATATCAGGGCACAAGTTTGGAACATGAAGCTTTAGTTAAATGAACACAGATATACTTCATGAAAGTGGAGGAAAAACTGGGTTGAATGAATCAGTTTTTTGTTTTGTTTTTTGTTTTATTATTATAACCACTGGTCATGCTAACTTAGACATTCTGGAATCTATAGTCTAAATTTTCTCCCTCACACCATGCATTTCTCACATGTGAAATACATATTTATATGCTTACAAATTTGCCAGCTTTGATATAAATGTCTCATAAACTGTTATCCATAATGTGAAACTAAGAGTTTCCGTTCAGCAAGGATCAAAGAGGTTGTCTAAGGAAAAATATTTGTTAAGAAAAATGATTTAACTACTGTAGTATACATTGGCCAGAAGGCTCTTGGATGTTTATGCCAGTATAACACTCTTAAATTCTATAGGGCTATTTCCTTACTATTGTGATGATGATGATTCACAATTTCACAAAATGAATATCTTATTTGCATTTACAGTGGTGCCTCGCTAGACGATGATAATTCGTTCCACTGAAATCACTGTTTAGCGAAATCATTGTCTAGCGAAAAGCATTTTCCCCATTGGAATGCATTGAAACCTGTTTAATGCGTTCCAATGGGGAAGAATCATCGTTGTCTAGTGAAGATCGGCCATAGGAAAGCCGCATTGCGAACAGCCAATCAGCTGTTTAAATTGCTGTCTTACGAAGCTTAGGTCCCGAAAACACCTGTTTTGCGAGCGCAGAGGGAGCTGTCAAAATCGTCATCTAGTGAAAATCGGTTTGCGAAGCAGGGACCAAACATTGTCCAGCGAAATTCCCCCATGGGAATCACTGTTTTGCAAATCACTATAGCGATCGCAAAAAGTCAATGTCTAGCGAAAAAACTGTCATGCGGGGTAACTGTCTAGCGAGGCACCACTGTATATAACAGACAACATAGCATTTATAAAAAGAACAAAATGCTACAATTTGTGCGCTCAACAACACCTCGGCACCAGCACCAATGCAGGAGTTGCTTGTAGAATTTGCAAAGTGTCCCTTTGATTTCAAGTTAAGAAAAAAAGCCAAGGTATCTTTCTCAACTGAGTTGGGGAAGATACCTTGGATATCTCGACACAAGAGAATCTTCAAAACCCTAAAATAAAATATCACTATAATGCAATTCATGAATTCACTCTGTAGATTCACCCCTCTGACACAAACATATAGGAATTACTGTATACCTAAACCAACTTGGCAAGGGCTTCAGCAGTCCAAGAGAGAACAGCAGCTTTGATCCCCTCAGTTCTCCCACACTTTTTGATTCAAAACTCTTAGTCACAGCCCTGTCCTTTCTTAGTCGCACCCCTTTAGGGTGAACTAATTATTTGCAGGAGTTACACCAGCATAAGTGCAGTACAGTATTATAAACTTGATGGCAAATTGCTGCTAGTTAATGGGTTGCCCCTTTTATTCCTCAATGCAGCCCAAGTCATTTAATTGGTGTATGGCGAGGAATTCAAGCAGTTGAAGAAGTAGCTATGTTTGTCTGCAAGTATATCGCAAAAAACCAAGAAACAAAAACGCAATGGAACCATAGCGGTGCCTTGTTCACTAGAAACTTGTGATGTATACTAACAGGTTTTGGCAGTGTAGTTTAGTCACACATAGGAAGTTTTATAGGCCTTGTCTCTGTTTAGGAGAGTATCCGCTCAACTATCTAGTGTGGCAAAATTCTTCATCATCATCCATTTACAAATGACTTATGCAGAAAATGGATCAGTGCTTAGAACGAAAAAGAAAGGCTAACTAGAATCCGCCTATCGATAGGGCGCATGATATGGGAGGTATCACTCAACATATATATTAAAGTGATATTGTCTTTGGACAAGCGTAACACGTGGTTCTGCACAATAGTTAACTCAGAATTTATTTTTAACAACACGGTTCAATCCTGGTGTAAAGCTCGTATAGCGTACATTTTTCCTCCACTGCCAAACGTCAGGGATTTAGAATGAACTGACGTGCTCTTGGAACACATGTTCGATTCAAATTTTAATCCCTGCAGTATCACAACATAAACACGAACGGGTGGGCAAGCAACGGATCAACATTCCCAGCCTGGCCCTCTGACGCTTTCTTTGCTTCGCGGATGAAGTTCGAATGCTCTTTTCTCGACTTGTTCAGTCTGTCCCGATTACCGGCACGCCCTTGTTTTGAGCTCCCGCCTTCCTTTGATAACCAGTAGCCTCGCAGCGGCGCCAATAAGAGAAGGATGGGAGCGATTGGTCAGGTCTTCCTGCAAGATGGCGGCTAACGCGACAACAAACCCTTCTCAGCTTCTGCCGCTTGGTAATCGACTCCGGGCTGCTGTTTGTGGAAAGGGCTGGAAGTAGAGAGGAAATGCGGGCGAGTGCGGTCTGCTGGGTGTGGCGTTGATGTGTGTGGCCCTTAGAGTGTAGAAAAGAAAAAAGAGTCCGGTGGCTGTACCACTAAGGACGGCGCGGGTGTTGGGATATGTCCCCTTTATTTTTTTTAAATGGAGCAAGGCGTTCCGATCTTTGCAAGTAGGAAAGAAAAGCAAGCGAGAGAAGGCGTTCTGTGTGATAGGCTTTTAAGACAAACTCGTGCACTTGAGTGCTGCAGCCCAAATCTCTCGCCTCAGCAGCCTGCCGCCAAAATTCGAAGGATCCGTGAACTACAATGTCATTGTACATTTAGCAGTGGGGTGGTGGAATATAGCTAAGGGCGAAGATGATCATCATGTTTCAAGGTTCATCCACACCAGGAAATGGGAAGCTAAAATCAAAGCAGTACCTCAGAGCATGGTTCCCCATGGAGTCGTTAATATTTTATTGCGCAAAAAAACGCAAAACGAACAAGCACGGGAACACCTTAGGTGCTTACAGATTAAGAGGTGTAGGTTCAGTATGGATTGCAGTCTACTTCAGTAGGAAGTAGAATGAAATTCATGAAAACAAAGTGAAAGAAATATGTTAGTAATTAAGGTGCTACAGTGCAAAAACAGGTTAACATAGCTGTCTCTCTGAAAAGATTATGATTAAATTAGTAGAAATAAAAAATGTTATTTCTTGTACCAGGTGTAGAGTGCCATTTTACACCTTCAGTCAGCTGCATACCAAGAGCAGGATTAAAATGGCTAGTATGTAAAGTTATATGGAAGTTCTGTCAGCTCTCTTGGAGGTGAGGCTAGAGCAGACTTTTTCCAATCTTTCACCTACTGGATGTGTTGGGCTACTACAACTCCCATAGTCTTCCACCTAACATACTTATTGACCGGGACTGGAAAGTGCTGAGTCTTCTTTCTCCCTCCTCTATGAAATATTGTTTATCACAACCTGGTCTGGTGGCTGAAAAGGAAGCATTTAACAGTGTGATTTGTAGTGGGGGGGATTTGAATGACACTTTTGCACCAGCATCATTTGTAAAAGCCTCAAAGGTTATGGTTTTGCATCTGTGTGGTTGTTTTGCACATTACAGATCTTTTGCCAAGCATCCATGCATCTCCTGTGTAGAATCTGAATGTAGGTTGCTCTTAATCAGTTTAGCTATACATTCTGGATGTAACTACATGAATATTAGTAACATTTGTAATTCAGAAATATATATACATTTATAAAATCATTAGGTCCTTGCCAAGCAGGAAACTATAGAGGACTTGCAACTGCATTAATATCAGTATTCAGTAGCATGAGGATCTCATACATTTTTGGTTTTGAATGTATACTGTACTATTGTGGAGAAGGTGTATGCTAAAGAACCTAACTCTTTTAAAAACGTTTTTCTGATCAACAGAGCTGGTGGACAAGTGTATAGGCTCTCGCATTCATATTGTGATGAAAAGTGATAAAGAAATTGTTGGCACACTCCTAGGATTTGATGACTTTGTCAGTATCCTTTTTTTTCCAGGAATACTTTATCATTTTGGCGTACTTCTGTGTTTATGTTTGTAGGTAGCCCTTTGGGATAGTTTTTTCTAAAAAGGATGTGGCCTGATATTTCATGTGGTATAAAATTAAATGTACACTCTGGTTTTGACAATGCAACTGACTGTGAATGTGACCACTTGCTCATTCAGGGCGCCATTTGAATGAACTGGCATCTTCAAACAACATACATTTTCTTCTATTTCTGCTATGAATGAAACCTTGATATCAGGCTGGATAACTGATATTTTCAGGGGACAATTTGATGTAAAAAATCTGTTCCTTCTGGATTCTGAAACTAATACAAAAAGTGAGTCCATGATGTAGGAGTTGTTGAACACATGAACATGGCCTATATCTTACAAAAATATCCACTCATCTTCAACATGAAGGAAAAATATTATTAGTACCCTTTGTAGTAATTTATTTCCCTTGATCCCAGATTCCAGATATGGTATTAGAAGATGTTACAGAATTGTAAGTATTGCTGTTACTGGTCTCTATCCTTAGGATGTTTGTGACTAATCTCTTCTTGTACCAACAATTGTCTTTACTTTTGCCTATGTATCTGGACTTCCTCTTCTAACTTCTTCCATTCCTAAATTAAGACTGTCAGGTACTTCTGTGAAGAATCTTGAGGATGGTGTTCTGTAATTCTCTGATTTCAGAACTATGGGGCATATTCCTTTCTCCCTCCAGGAGAATTTATCTTAATGGGATTTTCTGCAACTGTTCCCGAGTAATTCTTTGTTCTGCTTCCTGTGATGCTAATAATCATGCATTCTGTGGAGGCCTTTGCAGTGGATAAAAGTGGGTTCTCCCAGGCAGCATGGTAGTAGATTTTCAAAAGATAAATTTGTAATCCTGTTCTTTCCAAGATTTGGGACCACTCTGCTTGCATTGGGTGATTTATGTGGGCACAGTTATGCACAGTTACAAGGAGTTTACTTTCTGTGCAACTCTGGGATAATAATTACATGTCCAGTTGGAGGGAACGAAGTACAGTTATTTCTCATGGTTTTGTGTTTCATGGGAGGTTGGACTTTGGTGTGAGAAATAACTACATTTTATTGACCTTTTCCATGTGATATCATATTTCCAGCATGGTATGGAAAGCAACCACTTTGCTCTCATGCAGCTGTGATAGCACAAGGAAGATATCTAAGACCATTGATACAGTACTTGTGATTTTTAAAAATTATTTAATTGTTGTAATCGTTTTGCCCACTTTTACTTAGAAGTAAGTCCTGTTAAGTTCAGTGTGCCTTACTTTTATGTACTAGTACCTGAGATTGCAATTTTCATTTCTTTTGATTTTCTTGAATGAAAACCTTTTCGTAAATTAAGACTAGTTTTTAAAAAGGTTTCTATTTTTTTAAAAAATTCAACAGTGAGATCACACCTGAAGGACGAAGAATCACCAAGCTAGATCAGATTTTGCTAAACGGAAATAACATAACAATGGTAAGTGATTTTCCTAATTTACAGGTGCATTCCCCTTTCACCATGTCAATCCCTGCTCATTAAACCAAACCGGAAATAACTAGAAGCTTGCTTTATTAATGATCAATGTTTCTGCAGCTTTTTTTGTTAAGATTATGCTATATTAATCCACTTTGCTTGTGGGTGCCCAGCTTTTCATTTTGAACTCGTTTTGCTACCTATAAAGACCTGCTGAAGGCTGCACCATATCAAAAATGGTCTTTGCATTTTTTTCAAAACTGGGAGTGACTAGAAATTCACCAAGGTTTTGGGGGGAAAACAAATACCTCTGTCTCTTTTTCCATGTATATATTAAAACAGGGCCTTGCGCCTTTGAAGGTCAGTTATTTCTGGAGGCTTCCAGATGTAGCAGTTTTCTCCTCTTTTAAAAAAAATCTTGGGTATTTCCTGTGTTGCAAAATGTAGGGTTGGGTGGATATGATGTCCAGCTGTCAGTGAGAGCAAAATTAAATTTGTGCTTTCACCTGAAACAAGTTCTGCTTCTAGAAGATGGAATTGCATTGTCAATTTTGCTCTTCTAATAGAATATCTTGAAAAGATTCCCTTTTCCAAAGAGTTTCACTGAATTGTATTTTCAAAGGCTTTCACGGCCGGCATCTGATGGTTGTTGTGCGTTTTTCAGGCTCTTTGGCCGTGTTCTGAAGGTTGTTCTTCCAGAGCCTTGTGGCGCAGTGGTTAAACTGCTGTACAGCAGCTAAAACTGTGCTAACGACCCGGGGTTCAATCCCAGGTAGCCGGCTCAAGGTTGACTCAGCCTTCTATCCTTCCGAGGTTGGTAAAATGCGTACCCCACTCACTGGGGGGTGGCCAAGGTGTAGCCTGCATAACTAATTTGTAAACCACCCAGAAAGTGCTTGAAGTCCTATGGGGCGGTATATAAGCAGCACACTTTGCTTTTTTTGTGACATTTCACCAGTCTCTGTAGCTGGCATCTTCAGAGGATTGGAGTGGGAACTCTGTCCATGTGGACAGAGTTCCTACTCCAGTCCTCTGAAGATGCCGGCCACAGAGACTGGCGAAACGTCAGGAAGATCAACCTTTAGAACATGGCCAAATACCCTGAAAAACCCACAACAACTTTCACTGACTTATTTTTGCTAATGTTTAAAATGTTGCAGTTGTGAAACATGTCTTTGTGTGTTTTTATCTTTTTGACCAAATTTGTTAAGTGTGTCTCATTGCAAAGTGTAAATACAAACGGGGCAAAGCAAAATAACAGAAAGGATCTCACTTTTTCTTCACACTATAGAGTATGAGAGAAGGAAGCCAGCTGGTTGTTGTATCAGACTGGCATTATAAGGTTCCCATGGGCATTTTCTGTAGCCCAGTCTTTTAGGAAAGATGGAATGGTTCCTCTACAACTGTTTCAGATAAAAACTGGTGTCTCTTTTTTTACATCATATAAACTCCTCTTGTTGCTTTAATCCCATACAGTTGGTTCCTGGAGGAGAAGGACCAGAAGTATAAATGAATCTGTTTGCCATGGCTGAAGAATTTCTGTGAAATATTCTGTAGAAAGATCTGGAAAAATTTCGTATGTGGTTTTTGTTTTGTTTTTTTAAAACATTTCAAGTTGATGTTTGCATATAAATTGCAATTTGCATTTCAGTGGAAGTGCACCGTTAAAGATGACTTTGTAAGTTAAAATCATGACCTTGGTTTAAAGACAAAATCTGCTGTTCTAAACAGGCAATAAAGGTGTTTTTTTTTAAAAAAAACAGTTGTGTGGGTTAATGTGAAAATCTTGTGTCCAATGACATTGTGAATCTTGAATGGTAAGTAAATCTAGATTTGATACTCATTTTTAAAATTCACTTGATTTATTTTTCTCCTTCCCATTCAAGCCATCTTCAATGATGTAGGGAGAATTATCATAGATCAGGCTTGCCTCTTAAGAAAATTATTGTATGGAAGTGTAATAGTTTTGACAAAACAGTAAAAATATGATCAACGTTTATATTATTTTGACAAGGAATAAGGTTGGAGTACGTTGTCTTCACACTATCTGAGTGGGGATTGCAGCAGCTGAACAGGGAGATTCCATTTACTGTTCCTGAGCCTTAGCTTGAATTCTGTTCCATCCTACACATAAATTTGAATTAAAAGTGGTGATAGGTTTTGTTGATCATTTTGAGGATGCTTTTATTTTCTCCCTCTCTGACAGAAGAACTCTGTGTCACCTCTACTTGCAAAAAAGACCCTCCCAGATGACAGTTCCTAGGATAGCTCTGTCAGAGCTAAAAAAAAATTGGGGTTGAAGTCTGGAATTGAACTTGGTTTCTCAGAGAAACATAAACATCTGTGTATATGTGAAAGTGCCTTCTCTGAGCCTTACTAATTTTCTAGAACACTGATGTCAAGTCTCCACTAGAGGGAGACTGTCCAAATTAATGCAATAATTGCAAGGCCAAAATCCAGAATTATTACTTAGGATACATATTTGAAGATGGGTGAGGAGCATGTAAAATGTGTCAGGCTAATAGTAGTTGTCATAAAATAAAAGCAAGGTTTGACAAAGGTCTTTTTTTAAAAAATTGCAGCTTGAAATGTAGTCAATACATGAAAATAGTATTGACAATTTCAATTTCTACTGCCTTTGTGGTTTCTTTTATTTTGGGCATAGGAGTTCTTTTCTATGCTAGCTTATTTATTTTAAATAATATCTTGCTCTCTGTAGACCCTATGGCAAAAATGGGTGAGCAGAGAGTTCTGAGCAAGTGGAAAACCATATAGTTTAACTGGACTGAGTATGTAAAAAGACAGTAAAAACGTTGCATGTCATGAGAAACGGAGCACAATTAATAATTTCTTTCAGTTCTGCATTTATTATTTATCTTGCCCAAATTTATACTTATTCTGCAGATAATTACATTAGTACTTGCTCCTACAATCTCATATATGTTCTAATAATCTCTTCAGTAAAATATTTATTTAAACGTTCATGCCTCTGTTAAATACTTGCTTATTATCAGCATTTTACTGATAGTACCTGGTGTCTTTTTGTGTCCTTTATGTCATTTGGTACAACAAATTAAGGTAATTTCTGGCTTCTTTTTATAAGTTCAAACTATATACATTATACAGTTTATTATTTTAAAAACTGTTACAATGAGACTTCCTATGTATGTCTATATATCTGTGATACTTGGCTATATTTAATCTAATTCAGACCCTAAACTGAAGTGGGGTTGTCTTATCACTATTCACCCAGTAAAGGCAGCCATTGTCTTAATTTGCAAGACCTAAGCAGGGCTAATGATGACATGCCCTCATGGAAGTCATTAACCGTAAGGTAACCGTAAATCAGAAGTGACTTCATGGCATTTAACAACAACAAAAAGACACACACATCTGGCAAGAGAATAAACAGTATCACAATATCTTGATCAAAATGTGGCACACAAACTAGAGAACAGACATAATGGAATTAATTTCACTCTGGCCACAATGCAATTCTCTCTCATTTGAAATGAGTCCTAAAGAACTCAATGAGATTTAGTTCAGAGTAAATACAGTTAAAATTGCATTGTGAAAAATTATTTTCCAAGTAATTGCACAAAGAGCATACTGTATATACTTGAGTATAAGTGGCGCCAAATATAAGCCAAGGCACCCAATTTTACCACCAAAAAACTGGGTAAACTTATTGACTCGGGTATAAGCCAAGGGTGAAAAATGCAGCAGCTACTGGTAAATTAAAAAAAATAAAAATAGATACCAATAAAATTGCATTGCTTGAGGCATCAGTAGGTTAAATGTTTTTGAAGATACTGCCCTTCTGAGCTGCGATACACACTTCACTGCCTGCGGAGGGAGGACTCATACCGGATGCTGCACTTATCTACTGCTCTACTGCTGCGTAACAAGATGGAGGGAGACAGAGGATGGAGGAGGAAGGTGGGGACATAGAATATGCAGAAGGAGGAGGATGGGAGTATCCTGGAAGTGTCCTGGAAGCGGACACTCCCATAAAGATCTTTAAGAGACATAGCTGACAGGGAAGAAGGAGGGTTAATGTGCTTCCCTGGGCTTGTAAACAAAGATGCCCTCACTGTGACCTCTGTTCAGAGTGGTCTTTGAAATACTGACACGGTGCCGGGAAGAAGTTTTCATCTACAGCTCCTTCATTTGGACATAGACTGCTATTATCCTGCCAGCACGGTGTCTACCTGCAGAGTCTGAAAAATGCAGTGTACTTGGGTCATCAGACCAGCCACAGAGGCTGTAGGCACCCGTAGATGAGCAGGGGAGTTTGGAGAACACCCACACTGCAGGGGAGAACATGTAATTTTGACACTGACATGAGTATAAGCTGAAGGGGGTGCTTTTTCAGCGAAAAAGTTGTGCTGAAAAACTCGGCTTATACTTGAGTATATGCGGTAACTTTTAAAAATTATGATAGGCATTTTTAAAAAAAGTATGAATAACATTACATTCATTTAGAGAGTAGTAGAATTATAATTTTACTGTATTATCTATTTTTGTATGTTTTACAAATTGGCTGTTACAGAAAAGGTAGGTTCTGTAATCAGTGCCTTTTTAAGATACATGTTTATTGCTTCTTGACAGTTGTCTCTCCATGTGTCATTCTATAGTTGTGAATTTGTATATCTTCTATTTTGTCAGTCATTGTTAATGTATTGTGCAAACAAATACCAAGATATTAAGAGAAGGTCCATTTCAGTTCACATTCACTGAACTCTAATCTGCATAATTATTTTCTCTGCCAGGTTTATATTCCAGACACACCAGAGTGTCAAAGACAGATCTTTTCTTTTCTAGGTTTTTGCTATAATTCTTTTTCCTGTTCCCATATGGAAAATGAATTTTTAAAGATTTAATTATCCAATAAATTTTTATTTGGAACCATAATATTCTGTTATGCGTTGTCATGTTGCATTTGACCTATAGCGACTCTAATGGGGTTTTCAAGGTATGTGAGATATTTGAAAAGCAGCTTTAACATTGGCACACACTAGTGCACTTCAGTGGCTGAGTACTGATCCAAACCCAGGTGTCCTGAGTCCTACTCCATCACTTTATCTATTATGCTACATTGACTCTATAAATAATGATAGCAAGATCAATTAAAGATCGACGTGACTATACAATATTAATGCTTTTACTGCATTCCTATACTATAATTTTTTTCCTAGAAAATATCTTCATACCTTTTTCAGCCATGTGAATAAGGGTGCACAAATGAGTGCATGATCCTAGGATGTTCAAACACATGATAAACAGCCGAAATGATAAAGAGTATATCAGTAATGTAGTTCAGGTTTACTTTACAGGATTCTGGCCAATATGTATATTGCTACTCTGCAACAATAGATGTTGTAGAAATGGGATTAACATGGAAATAAGACTCCCTGGAAAAGACCCTGATGTTGGGAAAGTGTGAAGGCAAGAGAAGGAGACGTCAGAGGACGAGATGGTTGGACAATGTCATTGAAGCTACCAACATGAATTTGACCAAACTCCAGGAGGCAGTGGAAGACAGGAGGGCCTGGCGTGCTCTGGTCCATGGAGTCACGAAGAGTCGGACACAACTTAAGGACTAAACAACAACAACTACTGGTAACTCTTAAGTAATTTGCTAACATTTCATTTTAGCAAAGTATTCTTTTCCTTTAGGTATATTCAGGCAAAGCTTAATTTTTCCAGAACACATATAAGTGCTTAAATGATTTTATTCAAATTCATCATACTTCACAGAGGGTTAATCTATAAAATCACAAATGCAAAGCATAAGTAATTAAAGCAAGTCTAACATAAAACTGGATAACTTGAAAAAAGATCTTTGCCAGTGAAGATTATCAGTCCAGTCCAGCAACTGCATCTCTGCATGTGTATGTAATATAAACAAGCAGCACGTGACAAGTTACCAGGCAACTGCACACATGAGATACACTGGGAATTACAAAGCAACTGGTCAGTTGCTTTCAACTAATGGAAAAGTACAGATTCACTTGTGATCTTGATTTGTTTTTCCGACATATGGCCGATTCCTCCTCCCCTGTGTCCCTAATTTTGCAACATTACTGTATGCTTTATCTGTAAATTAACAGGATTCCAGTAACAATTTGATAATATGCATTTTAACATAAATTTAAGACTGCATTCTTATTTTTATTCAGTCTTGCTTAATAGTAGTAGAATATGGATGGTGACTATTATTTGTTTGGTTTGTCTTCTCTAAAATGATTTTTAGACAGCTCATGTTGTTCGTATTGGAGCAATTCATTTGTTGACAATGCTGTGCTATACATGCCTTCTCAGACGTAAACACTCCTGATATCAGTAGAAAGCACTTTTGCACAGTAGAAAGCACTTTTGCACTACAAACGTACGAGGAAGCAATCTACAAGGAAACAGCAGATACTATCCCTCAGAAAGAAGGAGAGAAAAATATAGGATAAAAATTTGATACTTCTGGCTCATGGCTTTATAATCCATCATGCAGATTTTGAACCTGCAACAAAATGTTGGCTTTATTTACCTAGAAAGCTACTAACAAGTTTTTGGAAGAGCAAATTTGTATTAAGATATAAGCGATGGTATTGATACATCATGTGATATTTTAGTATCTTCATTTGGAGTTATTTTAAATTCATTTAAGTATTATAGAACAATATACATGTTTTACCTGAAACACACAGATTATGAAATTGAGAGCTCGCTGTCTGTTTTAGTATCCCTGGC